AGAAGACTGGAAAAGGGCAAATATAGTGCCCATTTATACAAAGGGAAATAAGAGCAACCCAGAAAACTACAGACCAGTCAGTTTAACTTCTGTGCCAGGAGAGATAATGGAGCAGGTAATTAAAGAATTCTTCCACAAACATCTGGAAGAAAATAAGGTGCTAGGTAACAGCCACCATGGATTTGTAAAGAATCATGCCAAACCAATCTGATAGCTTTCTGTGATAGGATTACAAGTCTTGTGAATAAGGGAGAAGTGGTGGACCTGGCATACTGTAGTAAGGCATTTGATACAGTCTCTTATGTCCTTCTTATCAATACACTAGGCAAATACAACTTAGATGGGGCTATTATAAGGTGGGTGCATAACTGGTTGGATAACCATTCTCAGAGAGTAGTTATTAATGGTTCACAGTCATGATGGAAGGGCATAACAAGTGGGATTCTGCAGGGGTCTGTTTCGGGACCGGTTGTATTCAATATCTTAATCAATTATTTAGATCAGGGGTCTCCAAACTTTTCTGCCCGAGGGCCGCATTAACTATCAAACAGCAGTTCGGGGGCCGACTACACACTTGAGGTCCAAATAAAAAACAATCAAAACATGGATGTTGTTTTTAATTATTTATTTAATATTATTTTATTCAGTTATTATTTAATAACACATTGATACACTACACATGAACACCTGTATTAGTGTGAATGGTGAAATTGTTTCCTGGATGCCAAAATAGCAGACATTTCTGGCTTTAGAAATCACTGTTTGAAATTGGGGGTGGTGCTTGTCCTAGTCCTGCAGGAGGGGCTCCAGAACGGGGAAACTGCTGAGAACTCATTTCCACCTGCGCAATGTGATGAAAATTGTAAGCAACATAATCCTGGCAATATGTTCAGCCTAAGACACTCACACTTGAAGAGATGTGATCGCTCTCCTATCATGCAGGGAATGAGGTGACAATTTGTAACATAGCCCCATGGAACAAGGGGCATGCATTTTAATGGGAAAAGCTGGTTTGAAAGCAGACACGTTATCACTTGGTAAAGGAAGTTGGAAAGCAGTGCCCAACGCTCCCACAGACTGATACCCGGCAGGGCGGTGCTGCTCTGGGTTGTGGATGAGAGAGACCAGACGTGGAAGGGAGAGGGATGTTTCTTCAGGGCGCACTGCAGGGACCAGGGCAGCGCGCTAGGCACGGCACAGCGTCACCCAGAGGCTGTGCCACAGCAACCAGACCGCCTCCTGCAATGGGCACCAGCTCCCCACCCCCGCCCCCGGAGAAGTAGCCCCTCGCTCCTAGCCCCTGAGAAACCACCGTCGGGTTTCCTCCCCTCCGTCCAGCCTCCCGCGATCCTCTGCCGCCGGGTCTGATCCGGAGCCCGCCTTCGAGACCCCCCTTTTTCGCCCGTCCGGCCAAGCGGCACGCGGAGCCGTCCCTGACCTGGGCTACCTGCTGTCCCGTGCGCGTGCTGGGGCCTCGCGCAGCCGCCTGCGAATCCGTTTCTCCCGCTGACACCAATGCTCGGACTCAAGCTCTCTCCTTCCACCGCCGCAGCCACCCTCTGCCTGATTGGCTCCGGTTGGTGCCGCCCACAACGTGTGACCCCGCCCAATCTGGGTTGAGAGGGACTGAAACGGCGGCATCGAAAGGGCTTCTGGGAAACGTAGTTTAAACTGAGAGCGCCTCAGGGATAATCTCGCCGGCAAGCGGAAGAAGGCGGGGCCAGACAAAAAGGTCTCCACGGGCCGGATGAGAGGGCCTCGCGGGCCGCATCCGGCCCGCGGGCCGTAGTTTGGAGACCCCTGATTTAGATGATGGCATAGAGCAGGGCTACTCAACACGTGGCCCGTGGGTCGCATGTGGCCCACGGCCCGTTTGTTTGCGGCCCATGGTGCAGTTTGGGTTTATGCGGGGCTCAACATTCGGCCCACAGGTGGGATCCTTTGAACATAGTCTCCGCTTGGAACATACTCAGCAACAGCGAGCCAATATAATGGTCTTCTGTTGATATGCGCTTTAGTAGTTAAATTCCTGGATTGTCATTGCTCATTAAAAGTGCTGTCATATGGGTGGAAATCCGGTAAATAAGGCATTTTATTAGTATCAGCAGAAATGACTTAAATGGAACCTGTGTGTTGTATAGTCCTGCCTTAAATCTCTGTATTCATGCCTGTCAGTGTGAAAGAAGCTATTTGCATATATATTTGCATGCATATGCAACCACACTTAAGTTGCGGCCCTTGGCATGTGTTGTGTCATTGTGGTCCCCGGAGCTTCCAAAGTTGAGTAGTCCTGGCATAGAGAGTACTCTTACTAAGTTTGCAGATGATACCAAGCTGGGAGGGGTTGCAACTGCTTTGGAGTATAGGGCCATAATTCAAAATGATCTAGACAAATTGGAGAAATGGTTTGAGGCAAATAAGATGAAGTTTCATAAGGACAATTGCGAAGTACTCCACTTAGGAAGGAACAATCCATTTCACATATACAGAATGGGAAGCAACTGTCTAAGAGTACTGCAGAAATGGATCTAGGGGTCATAGTGGACCACAAGCTAAGTATGAGTCAACAGTGTGACACTGTTTCAAAAAAAAGCAAACATGACTCTGGGATGCATTAACAGGAGTGTTGTGAACAAGACACAAGAAGTCATTCTTCTGCTCTACTCTGTGCTGATTAGGCCACAGTTGGAGTATTGAGTCCAGTTCTGGGCACCACATTTCAAGAAAGATGTGGAGAAATTGGAGAGGGTCCAGAGAAGAGCAACAAAAATGATCAAAGGTCCAGAAAACATGAGCTATAGGGGAAGACTGAAAGAACTGGGCTTGTTTAGTTTGGAAAAGAGAAGACAGAGAGTACATGATAGTTTTCAGGTGTCACGGCCGGGGGGAGTGGGGAGGTGGAATTCTTTTACTTGCCTCTAAGGATAGGACAAGAAGCAATGGGCTTAAACTGCAGCAAGGGAGGTTTGGGTTGGACATTAGGAATAACTTCCAAACTGTCAGGGTGTTTAAAACTGGAAATAATTGCCTAGGTAGGTTGTGGAATCTCTATCACTGGAGATATTCAACAGTAGGTCAGTCAGACATCTATCAGGGATGATATAGACCCTGCTTGGTCCTGCCATGAGGGCAGGGGACTGGACTTAATGATCTCTCGAGGTCCCTTCCACTTCTAGTATTCTATGATACTCTTGATCTGTAATGGAAGAACAATTCAATTTCTGGAGGGAAAAAGGGGAACTAAATATACAGGAAAGGAGAATAAACTGATGAAATCATTCTTAGGCCAAGTATCAACATGGACTGCAGTGCTACCAACTTCTGCCAACAAATAAAAGGCGGACAAACTGAATAGAACCCATTCTCAGGAGACTTTCCTAAACAAAATTTGTGTGTGTGTGACGGGAGGCGGTCTTCTTGTCTCCATCAGAAAATTGAGATGCAGTAAATCAGGGAAGAGCATGACCAAAGCCATACCAGAAAAGGGCAGAATGGAAAAAAAATCCCTAGGACTCTAGGGCGCAGCTTTCAAAAATTTTCAAAAAGTGTTTCTTATAAGGAGATAAAATAGTAAATATTTTAGTACTTCAATATCATTTAGACACATCACATACTTGCTTCTTATAAATGTTATGTTTGCTAAGAGATGTTTTCATTTGTGTTAATGACACCTTAATTGCATAAAAGCTATTCCTCATGATTGGGTATGGTATATCTTGCAGTCTTGCACATGGAAATTAGTTCTCTTGGTATTAACTACTTAGGAAAGATCCTAATTTACACATATGCATTCATTTAATGCTCTCTTTTCAAGCACACTTTGACCTGCATTGCACTGAAGTAAACAGGGCTTCACAGAACTTGGCCAGACTGAAGTGACAACAGGAAGCCAAAGTCCGCACTTATCTTAACTAAAAATATTTACAATTGGAAGGGTATAATTTGAGAGATCTGAGAAGTTACCAGTAAAGCATGTAGGAACACAGGAGGAGGAGGAAGAGATTTCTTCTACAAAGGACAGGGATATAAAATATATAGGACACATACAATTGGAGGAAGCCTTTGGCTCCAATTTCTCTTGAATTTTTGAGCCATTCACATAGGGTACGTCTACACTGCACGCTTATTACAAAATAATCAAGTCCAAAAGAAATACTTCGAAATAGCTTATTTTGAAATATCACGTCTACACTACAGGAAAACCTCAAAATTAGTCGGAGGCAGGCTTCCCTAATGTGGACGGGCTACCTCAATGTAGAGCCCCAGGATGCAGAGGGGAGTAATTACTTTGAATGACCCCGGGGGGGAGCTACTTCGATATAGCAGCAGTGGAGTGTCCACAGCTATTTTGGAACAGGCATTATTCCACATGGAATGAGGTTTATAGAAGTGGGAATAAGTCAACCATTATTTTGACTTTATTTTGAAATAATGGAATTGCCATGTAGACGCTCGCATTGTTATTTTGGAATAATGCCCATTATTCTGAAATAACACTGCTGTGTAGAGGCACCCTTAGATATTAGATTGTTGGAAAATAAAATATAATTAGCCAATAAGAAATTGCATTGTGATCTGGTCTTTTCTGTAGTTCACCAGTGTACTTGAACTCAAAGTACTTATGCCCTGAAAAGCACTCAAGGGCAGTACTGAAGAGGAATGCTTTCCTGAACTGGGACTCCAGTAAAAAACAACATGATCTAGCCTCAAATTACAGAAAGAAGGAGCAAGTTTCTAATCAGGCCTTTCTGCTCTTTTGGTAGATTTCCCTTCATGGTGACAGTCATGGTCAGGCAACTAAGTCTAAGCATATGAACCACCAGATACCAGAAAAAATGAAAAATTACAGTGTGGGAAGCCATTACAAACTCACTTGCGAGTGGGCAAAATGTCATCCTAAATGGCTGGCACGAGTGTGGGCAGAACTGTAGAGGATTTAATTGGGAAAAGATGTTTAGATTAATTAGACCCACTGCTAGAAAAAATATAATGATACTCACATCAGAGTTAAAGCGAAGCTGACAGACATTACAGGAAATAACTTGCTTCTTCTTTGGGGGAATGGATACTCCAAATGTGTGGTTTATGACTGCTTTTTGCACAGGATCCATCTGGAGAACAAGCAATAAAATATTCAATTTACAACTTCACAGGACAATAAACAGTGCAGAAAAGACTCAAAATAACATTTTCCCCCTGCAAGTTCCATTTTTTTAATAAACGGGGGAAATACTATTTCAAACTTCATAAAAATAATTAGATTTATCTCAAGATAGGGAATGTGTATCAAGCCAGAGTTTACAAAAAAGCAACTCAGTGAGCCCCACCACAGACCACTGCATGTTTCATCTCCCTCACCACTCAGAGCATCAATATCATGTCAAGAGGTAAGGAGCCCATAAATCCCTCCTGAACCATATGCTGCTTCTCTAGCCACACCACTAAGCACTCTGCCTCCCCTAGAATCACTAAACATTTGTTGGTCTCTCTCTTTGCAAGGAAAAGTACCAGCACTCTGGAAAGAGGGAGAGACTTTAGGTTTTGTGGCACAAGTAAGCTCCAGAATCATCTTATGTGGTATATGTAGCCAAACTGGGTTTGGGATGTAAAACTAGAGATAGGAGTTTGGGGGCTTTAGATGAAGAAGGGGACAGTGTTAAAGCTAGATTACCAACCGCCCCCGACACGCACATTTTTTTGCTTAGTAATAAATTACTATTTTTTCCCCTTTGGTGGGTTGGTAATTATTCAGAACAGGCTACCACATAAGCTATAGTTACTAGAGAAATCCATGTCAGTGACAATGCTCCTGAGCTTTTTTGTCCTCAAGCTCAATTCGAAGGCCATAAGGAAAGGGCTTCAAGTAACAGCAGACTTATAACAGCTTCCCACTCACACACACACAAATGAATTGGGAAAATCTTCTCTCGTGGAGACATCTTTGTGAGAGGAGTTTCTTTATGGACTCTTTTATAATAGTTACAGTACTTGCCTGGAAAAACTGACTCATGTTCCTCAAGGATTTCCAAAATAGAATCAATGAGTGATACAATTCAAGTAATGAGTACTACTTGGGATATGTTTAAAAATGACTTTGCACCAATTAAAGATGTAGCCGTTACCATACCAGAGAAAATGCTTTCACACTGAAGAAAAAACAGACACTTGAGAAACTGAAAACACAAAGAGTCTGAATCCTGAGCTTGAGAGAAAATGTTCACGAATTAGAAACTAAAGAAACCTTTTCTAAGTATCCTAACTCCTGCTGGATATGAAATTTGACTCCATTGGCAATTGAGAAGACTTCAGGATTCCAGACCTTTGCTAACTCTTCGGGCCTTGTTCAGGGTATCGAGGGGAGAAATCATAATTATCTCAAAATTTTATTACCTTAGCAGCCATAAGCATCAGTTAAAAATAAGGCTTCTTTGTGTGAAGCACTATACAAAGTAATATGTTGTCCCCAATCTAGACAGTTTAGAGTAATATATTTCACATCTGTAACTACAAGTTTGGATGTAATTCATTTGTTTAAAGATAAGCAGGGATCTGACAACAATGAGGAAGAAAAATAGTGGTCTATCATGAACGAAATATTTACTTTTCCTAACTTGGTTTTACGGTTCCTACTCTTGGGGGAATTCCGGGCCGCTGCACATGTGCACAATTCATGTGCTACTAAGAATGTTTTCCGCAGAAAATACATTGTTAGAAAGGTGTTGAAGTTACTCCTTTCGCCCACAAGGGGCCACTGTAGCACCAGAACAGCCCCAGCTATGAATAGGAAAGAGAAAGGGGCTTTCTTCCTATGGTGGGGCCGGGTCAGGAGGCATGGAATATAAGGGGGATGGACATCATATACAGCACATGGGTTGCTGGGATGCTATATACTGGAGTTCAGAAGGGTTAATTGGGGGGTGGGAGGGAAGGACCACATGGGGCTGGAGCTGAATGGGTATGGGGTGCAGGGATAGATGGGGACAGAGAGAGGGTGCAGCGACATATGGGAGGAGGAAGTGGTTGAGTAGGGGCACAAGGGCAGATGTACTGACTGAATGAACAGGCTAGGGGTACGCCAAGATCTGCATGGTAGAAACTCCCTAACAACGCTCTCCACCAGGCATGGACTTTGGGCAAGGTGAGCGAGAAGGTTGTCTTTGGCCCCACACATTCAGGGCTCTATGCTGCCCAAGCCCACCCACCCTGCCGCCACTCACTGCCCTGACTGGGATGTGCGTGGCCGTGTGGCTCAGCCAAGCACAACATGCTGCCTTCGGCCCCGCAAACTCTTTGGCTGGGCCTGCTCTCCGCCCCCAAAATAACTTTTCCATGCTTCTCCCATCCATACCCAACAGCCCTGCAGGATCACTGCCACGCTTCTCCCCACAATAACTTTCATCTCCTTCAGCTCCCCTATTACCCTGATTCCCCCCAAATCTTTGCACTGCTTTTGAGGAGTAGAGGAAATAAGTTTCTATATTGTGGTTTAAATTAGCAATGTGATAGTGTAACCAGTTAACCAATGAGCTTGGGCTCATCAGTTAACCTTCACAGTTTCTTGCAGCCCCCTCCTATGCTGCTGCCTCTGTATCAGAGGCAGCAGCATGGGGGAGGGAGGAGAGGGGAGGCTGTCCTTGCAGGGAGATGGCTTTTAAGCAGGGGCCTTCTGTCCCCCTATGCTGCTACGTCTGATACTTAGGCTTAAAAGCTGGCGCCGTGTGCGCACTGGCTCCTGTGGAGCTGCCTCCCCACCCCTGTGTGTAAACACGTAACCGCTGAAAATTTCAGTGGTTTCACGTTTGCCAAAATAAATACATTTTTACATCCCTAGTTTAAATGAATTATTAATCAGAGCTATGTATTGAAATGCCTAGTAAATCTATTTGTCCAAAAATTTTCCTAAATCTGTTTCATTGTCTATATTGTTACAGACATCATTGATGACAAGTATTTTGAAACAAATTACTGAAATAATTGAATCTGGCATGATTATACAGTGTTATTTTGGCAAATAAAATATGAAACATGTTGCAGAATTTTTCATTGTTTAGAGAAGAATTCCCCCGGGAGTAATTTCCCATTGCAGAAAGTAGTAGTTTGATTTGTTAAAAGGTTATGTTTTCTTGCAAATTATTTTGCAGTCTCAGCAGTGATTTTCTGGCTACAATAATATATGAAGGAACCATATGCCTAGGATGATGTAAAGCTTGCATTTGACACTACATTTAATAAGGAGATGGGGGAAAAAAGCTGCAGTTAATTGATTCTTTATATCAGGTTTTTGCAGTGAATTAACTTCTTCCAGATTTTCTGAAGCTGGTAGCTAAATAGTCTAGTTGTCCTCTTTACAACATTTTTTTATGCTTCTGGAGAAATAAAATTGCTTCAGTGAGGATTGTCTTAATATAAACACATACATACATATGCATGCATGCATACATTCAAGAATATATTTTAAAGCATAGGTGTGAAATTATCTATTAAGAAACACTTAAATGATGAATAATTTTTGGAGTGTTGTGATTTTAACCCAAAAAAGAGGGATTGTAAACTTCACAGCTAGCATTTATACTTTTTGGAACGGTAATGTAATTTCTACTCTCTTTTGACAGTAAATACTATATTTCAGTGCCTTAAGAGTCACAGAGGCAAAAATAATTAAAAAACAAAGGAGCTCAACTACAGTGGATTACTTCATTGATAAAATGACACTACCATTGTGACAACTACATTGTTAAAAAAAGAACATCAAGACAAATAAACTATCAAGCGTGAATAAAACATCACAGAAATAGAAGGTTGGATGGCACTGTGACAGATCATTTAGTACAGCCCCCTGCATTGAAGCAGGACCTAGCTTACCTAGACCATCTCTGGCAGGTCTCTGTCCAACCTGTTCTTAAAAAACCTTCTGAGATTCTACCACCTCCCTTGTTCCAGTACTTAATTACATGAGGTTGTTCATAGTATCTAATTTAAATCTCCCCTGCTACAGATTAAGCCTGTTTTTTTTCCTACCACTTCCTACCAAACCTTAACATATCTGAAGACTTATCAAGCCCCCTTATTCTGAGACTTCTTGTCCTCAAACTTAAACATGTCTAGTGTTTTTTATTCTTTCCTTATAGCTCAGGTTTTCTATAACTTATTTTGTTGCTCTAGAGTCTCTCCAATTTATTCACAACCTACCTAAAATGAGCCTTCTAAACTGGACACTGTGCTCCAGCTGACGCCTCACCATTACAGAAAAGAGTGGGACAATTACCTCCTATGTCTTATATCCAACACACCTGTTACATTCCAGAATATTAGCCGTTAGCAACTGCATCACAATGTTATCTCACACTTAATTTATGATCCACCATGATCCTGGATCCTTTTTTGCAGTTCTACTGCCTAACCACTTATCCATTTTGTATACATGTATCTGATTTTTTCCTTCCTCAGTGTAGTGCTTGTCTTTATTGAATTTTATCTTGTTGATTTCAGACCAATTCTCTAATTAGTTGTAGTCATTTTGAATTCTAATCCTATCCTCCAAAATGCGTATGCTTCCCTTGAGTGTTAGTAGACCCTGGACTGACATCTGCAGCCCCCACTCGATATGCCTTCCCAGTTTGACAGCGAACAATTGATAACTACTCCAACTATGGTCTTTCAACTAGTTACATACCCACCTTTAGGGATCTGAAAGGTTACCCAGTTATCCTAAATGGGTAATGTTCTCCAGTTCCGGTTAACTGGTAACCAGTGGGGGCTGGAGCAGCGGGCAAGGGGCTGCGTTAGCACCACAAGTGGCCTGTTGCAGACAGAGGTTGCTCTTATCCAGAGCAGCCTTTGTCCACAGCAGGCCTGGATGCCCTGCAGGCAGGGGCAGCTCTGGCATCCAGCACAGCCTCTGTTTCCAGTGAGCCCAGGAGCTGGTGGGGGCTGGCAGCCAGCAGAACCAGCCCCATCGCAGGAGCTGGAAGGCAGGAACCAGTGGCAGCCCCATCCTCAGTGCAGGGCTAGGAGCTGGCAGCCAGCCCCACCATGGGACTGGGGGCGGGAGCCCTGCAGGCTGCTCCAGCTGCACTAGAGTGGGCCCCAGCCCAGGATTCTGCTTAGTTGG